AGGCGCCGCTCATTTAATTAAAGAAAGAAAAAGCTAGTAGGCAATCCTAGTTGATTTATTTTTTCCAATATTAAATATGCAATTGCGCGTTGCTATAATATTTCCTTGTTCACAAATCACAATGGAGAAATTTAATGCACAGCTATTATGATTTTATAACAGCTCGTCCGTACTATTATGTCCTCTATAATAAAACATATGTTTTTCCTCTGACCATAGTTAATTAATTACGCGTAGGCAGTTATATATCATAAAGTAAGGTTTGACATATTTAGTTTATGATGAATTCTGAGAAATCATTGGCTCTGTTAGGGGAGAGCATTACTTAAATACTTATCGGGAGATTTGACATTTTTCGAATCATTTACTTTGGGAATTAAGTTTAATATTACTTCTAGACAAATCGGATATGATTTCAATTTTTTAATGGAGAAAGTGAGTTACAAGCTAGTTACAAGGTAGTTATTATTTCGAATTTAGATATTTTCTTGAAACCTTTAATAATAATAATAATTACTTTCTCAATTTTTTAATAGAGAAAGTGAGTTACAAGTTAGTTATTATTTCGAATTTAGATATTTTTTTGAAACCTTTTTTTTTGGTCAATGAATTAAAAATTTTATTCATCTCCCAAAATTTGAAAGTGTAAACACATCAAATCATTACCCGTTCATCTCTGGTAAGAATCAAAAAAAAAAAAAAAAACAGACTGTTTCTTACATTTTTCCTATTTTATCCTTTATATGTTCAGGAATATTTTCATTTAGCACCTTTGATAAGATTGAATTTTTCACTTTTCTGACCAACTGAGCAGGTGTATGGAGCTTCCCTTGAAAGATTCTTAAGTTCCTTTCCTTCCAAATCCAATAGACAGTAGCCGACAATGCCATTCTCTTCATCTTCTTCTTGAAACCTTTAATAATAATAGTAATAAACTTATGCATGTTTCGCAAGGATGGGAAAGGCCATGAGACCTTGAGTTTGCTACACTAATTGCAATGTATAGACCAAAGTTTCACACGTTTAAAGAGAAGATGATAGAGCTTTTCTCATTTTGTATAAAATTTTGTTAGAACATATGGGCCGGAAATCTATTTTCTCCGTGAAAAAAATGTCCAGAGAGCTACGATATTCTGTTAGATTACATCTGAGGTGTCAATTTCTTAAGACAGGAATCTATGATCATTATTAACAAAAGAAATTACAGTGTACGGAGATTATCCCGCACTTTAAATAATGTAAATATAAACAATATTGATGTTATTGTCCTCGTTTTATATTAGAAGCCTCTCCATCAAATGCAAACACTCGCGGACAAATCCCCAAATTACTGAAGAAATTTTTTCCTATGCATCAATAATTGAATATTACACCAGCTGACAAGGTTTGATATATAAAAATTAAACTTTTTGACCTAATTCTCAATCAGTAATATAATCTATTAGGCTATTTAATTTAGAAATGAAGAGAAGCTGAGCGCATTGAAAAAGAATTATTGAGCTTTGCTACAGAGATCCAAAATATGAGACTAATAGGGGGGACAAGTAATGTGTCATCTTCCTATTAGATAATAGGTTGGTCATCATTAATGATGGCTAACTCATTATCCAATAGGAGAGGGACACCTCACTTGTCCCCTCTATTGGTCCCATATTTTGGGTCCTTAAAGAATTTTTCAGAATTATTAAATCAAAATATATTTATAAAATTAGCAGTGCGCTACAGGATCTCATTCTCTCTCCCCCCCTTTTAATTAGCCTGGTCAGCTCTTAGCTTAATCATGCTCCACATACATCACAGTTTGTCATAGTTGGAGTACCGTTGTAAGTTGAACAAAGACGAAAAAAATAATTAATTGATTTAATTAAGGCAACTTGTCCCTGAAGAAAAGAACCTAATTCGTTGAGGATTAAGGAGCATGACAAAGCCCTACCTTTTACTTTAGCACTAATTTAATTCAAATAAAATGGTTAGGTATTGCTTCACCAATCAAACAATAAGATCACCCCCCTCTACATAAAATAAGAGACCATCTAAAGGATTGATATTTAAAAAAAAAAATTACGAATGAGATAGGGACTACATGATCCAACTTGACAGTGTTATTTATTAATTATACTTGTTAATTATATATAAGGATATTGTTATCACAAGCATGATCAAGATAAAAAAAGTATATATTTTAACCCCATTGTTGTTAGCAACATCCTAAACAAAACTAATTTCAGCAATGGAACTAATTAAGGATGAGGGTACGTACGGGGACAAATTCATGGTAATAATTTTACCATGAATTTTCACAATTTTCCATCTATAATTATATTATAATTTAATGTCTCTCACCGTTACATGATATCCATCCCAATATTTCTACGGTGCTCACAATGGATTGTACGTGTATGCCATGAAGCAAACTCGAGCAATCTATCTATTAAAGTCAAATTCTTCATAATCTAACTAAATTAACATTTGACTTGCATAAAATAAACTTTTTGAGGACAGTTTTTCCTTCTCCTTTCGTTTTTTTACTATTTTTATTTCCATTCTTTTAGATTGTGGACGGAATATTCGGATCTCCCGTTTTTCATTTTAAGGATTGGCAAGCAACAGAGTATCATCGAATAAATGTTAGATTTGACAAGCTACAGGCCAAATTATGGCAACTATTAATTGCCAGTGTCACACTATAGAAAGCTTATTTAATAAAACCTTAATATTGTTAAATCACTACATAGTGTAAATCATAGTCCATGTATCTTTAATAATAACGACCCAATATAAAATTTTCAGTTGCTAATAACTAACAGTAATGACATTTTCCCTATATTTAAGGAGCATTAATTGTTTAATATCAATCCCACTTCCGCTGGAAGGATATAAATAAATTTGTCAAGTACATTTGTGGAATTTAGTTGCTCCTTTCAAGGAGACTCGTCCGAGACGTTTAATTAACTGTAAATTTCCAATTACATACTGTCTACCTCGTCAAGGCCGATCAACTATTAAAATTTCAGTTATATATATATACTGATGAAAGTTTAGTAGATTCATGTTCTGTCCTTGTAATTAACAAGGCTAAATTATAGAATACGTACAAGTGAGACAATAACTGTAATCATTCTTGATTGTGAACAACCCTGCACACATATCTTATGATTGATCTTTGAAGGTTCTCGGTGTAATATATATATGAAAGATTTATTAGAAGTCATCAAATTGTTAGAATATTAATGTTAACCCTGTGTTTCTCTTTGTCTAAAACATAAAAAAAAATTAGACTGCTAAACTTGAATATATAGTTCCAAGGTAACAGGCAATCATTTGTCTTCAGAAAACGCTACTAAGATATAGTATGTATATTCACATTAATTAACGAATGTGCAATTGAAAAGTTGGTTTTAATCACGCATAACAGCGAACGACAACGTTACGCATATTATAAGAACCTTTACGCAAATAGAAATTAATAAACTAATGAGGTTTGTCTCTATTAAATCTCAGTTGATTCAAAAGTTTAATATCACATCAATTCAAAACTTTGATATTATATCCATAATTTAGGTATTATATATCCAACTTTAACTTTCCAATTGAATTTCTGAAATACATATAATATAAGGGGGCACATGTGATACAAGAGCATTGATCTATCAGACATTTTTGGATAAGATCAGATAACGTTGGAAGGCAACTCTTTTGATGCATATATATACAAGATTTGATTACAATCAATCATGAAAGGTCTTTTAAATTCTCTTTTACCAACATATATAATTAATAATATGAATGCTCTTATTCAAGTGAAGTTTGGAACCTTGTCATGGAGTGGCTTAAATTTAATTGGAGGACGTGTACCTGGAATCTTCTCTTGAACTGGTATTTTACAAGAGTGAGGGGCAAAAGGATTCAAGCAAAAAAAATAAAAAGAATGGCATTGGTGTCAACAGTATACAACATATGGCGTGAGAGAAATGCAAGGATATTCAAGCAAACTTTCAGAAGTGTTGTGCAATTGGCTAAATAAATCAAAATTGACATTTTAATCATTGCTCTAAATAGCTCTCTGTCAGATGAAAATAAAGATTGGTTGCTCTCGTTGAATTAAGTTTTGTGCATGTTGTGCACACTCAGCAGACTGATTTATGCATGTGCAAGTTGCATCGTAATGGATCTGAACGCAGGTAGATTTGTGCATGTTGTGCACACCCTGCAGACTGATTTATGGCTGTGCTAGTACTGTATCTGGATGCAGGTAGATTTGTTGTGCATATTGATACATAAAGCTGAAGCTGTTTATGGGAGCATACTCTAAAGTCAATTAGATAGAGCCTGATTAACGGGGGAGTGCATGTTGTGCATATGTCCCCTAGTGTATACCTTTTGTTGTGATATCTCTTTGAGGAGTATCTTGATGTACAAAACTTACATATTTGGTAAATGAAAATAAAATTCTTGATTGACCAAAAAAACATAATAATATGAAGAGAGAAAAAAAAACCATCTCAAGCGATTTATGAGTAATAATCGTATTATCTAGTTGGCGAACCATTTTGTACAACCTTGGACGTACCAAAAGTGGCTCCTTCTCAAGGTGAAGTCCATATCACCGGGGGAAAAAAAATTGCCATCGATCAAAGAAAACCCACTATTAATTCATCGCCGGTTGACTCCTCCAGCTTGATGATAGAGCCAGCCAAGCCGGGGGACAAGAGTGGGACCCACCCGCCGCGGCAACTTCCCTCCAACTGCTATAGCTGCTGAGGCTCCCCCCCACTTAACCCTAACCCTAACCCTTAATTAACCCTCCCCTTGATCCCTGGTTAACCCTTAATCAACAAAACTGATCACATCACAACAGTACATCGATCACCCCCTCACTCCCTCCCTCCCTCCCTCTCGTTTGGTTGGTCGTCTCTTAAAGTCTTTTAAGCCTCATCCCTTCCTCTTCACTCTTAGATCCTTGCACACCTAGGGTTTCTCTTTGTGCTATAGCGCTCTCTCTACTTTTTTTTTCCTTCAAAATTTTCTCTTATTTATTCTACTCTTTCCACTCCCCTCAATCACATAAAATAAAAGAGAGGAAAAAAAAATAATAATAATAAAACAATCCACCAATCCCAATTTTTTCTTAATTTTTTTCTCTTTCTCCCCCTTTTTTCCCCCCATATAATTACTCTACCTATTGGATGCTGATATGGCCGGGCTAGATCTGGGCACCTCCCGGTACGTTCACCGCCAACTCCACGACCTCCACCTTCAAACCCTAACTGCCCGCCTCTGATGACGACGGCACAACAACGAGGGCAACGGCAAACGGAACGCACGGCGGGCGACGACAACGGGCGGAGGCCCGTCGGTCTCCGCCCCCGGGCGGGCGCCGGCGACATCGTTAGCCGCACCGCGCCGCGCGGCAGGCCTCGCGGGCTCCAAGAACAAGCCCAAGCCGCCCGTCATCATCACCAGAGAGAGAGAGCGCCAACACCCTCCGGGCACCAAATCCTCGAAGTCGGCAGCGGCTCGACGTCTTCGCGAAGCTGCATCTCCACCGTACGCCCGCCCGCCAGCGCGGCGTCGCGTGCTCAGGCGTCGAGCAGCGGGAACCGTGACGGACGTCAAGCCTGCGGCCAGCCGGCGACAGCTGGAGCTTCGTCACTTTACACGGTCGGTTCGAGATCTGTCGCTTTCGGGGTCGATTTTTTTGTATTTTTTTTCCTTTTTTTTTTTTTTGATTTTTTTCATTTTTTTATTTTTTTTTTTTTGATTCTATTTTGTTTTATTTTTTTATTTTGTTTTTTTATTTTTTCTTTTTTTTTTTTTTTTGTGTTTTTTTTTTTTTTTTTTTTTTTTTTTTTTTTTTTTTTTTTTTTTTTTTTTTTTTTTTCGTCTTTTTTTTTTTGAGTATTAATTTTTTTTTTTTTCATTTTTTTTTTGTCCTGGGTTTTTTTTTTTTTTTTTTTTTTTTTTTTTTTCCTTTTATTTTTTTGTTTTTATTTTTTTTTTTTTTTTTTTTTTTTTTTTTTTTTTTTTTTTATTTTTGTTTTTTTTTTTGTTTGTGTTTTTTTATTCATGTTTTTTTTTTTTTTTTTTTTTTTTTTTTTTTTTTTTTGTTTTTTTTTTTTTTTATTGTTTGTTTTTTTGTTTTTTTGTTTTTGTTTTTTTTTTTTTTTTTTTTTTTTTTTTGTTTTTTTTTTTTTTTTTTTTTTTTTTTTTTTTTTTTTTTTTTGTTTTTTTTTTTTATTTGTTTTTTTTTTTTTTTTTTTTTTATTTTTTTTTTTTTTTTTTTTTTTTTTTTTTTTTTTTTTTTGTTTTTTTTTTATTTTGTTTTTTTTTTTTTTTTTTTTTTTTTTTGTTTTTTTGTGTGTTGTTTTTTTTTTTTTCCTGCGCCGCCGCGCCGCCGCGGGCCACAGCCTGACGGTGTTTTGGGCGGGAGGGCAGGGGCAGGTGGTGGGGGGGAGTGTGGTCGGGGCGCTGATCGCGGCGGGCCCCGTGATCGTGATCGCGTCGTCGTTTACGAACGTGGCCTACGAGAGGCTGCCGCTGGAGGAGGAGGAGGCGGCGGCGGTGGGGCGCGGCGAGGGGGATGGGGATGGGGCCGCCCCGCGGTGTCGGGGAGCGGAGGCGGGACTCGCCGGCCGACCCGTCATCGGGGCTGCCGTTCTTTAATCTCCCGATGAGCGGGATGCCCGGGATGCCGCCGGTCGATCGGGCACGGTGGGCCGGAAGGCGCAGAATGCCGACCGCGGCCGTTCTGATCAGAAAATGAATTAAGGATGAAGATAGAAGGTCAGATCGAATTATATATATTAATTTGTTGTTGTTGTTGTTGTACCATTAATTTCTCTTTCACTTCTTCTCTGCTTCATGTTTCTGCTTCCTTTTTTCTTCTTCTTCTTCTTCTTCTTTTTCCCTTTTCAATTTCTATCATGGCTTCCATTGTTTTTTAATCAGATGATGATGGTGTTGTATGTTTGTTGTTCATGGAAACTCTTTGATGATTTCTTTCTTTCTTTCTTTCTTTCCTTTTTTTTAAATGATGATAAATTTAGCATTAATTAATGGGGTTTTTGAGTGCTAGCTACTATATATATGTAATCTTACTATTATTAATGACTGCTGATTCTTAGTGCTGTTAATTATGGTTTTGTTTCTTCAACCCATGTTTGCTCATTATATCCTTTTGAGATCAAAGTAGATTAATTATTCACCAGCATTCATTAAGTATATTATTATCGATCACAGGCCTTTGTGTCTAATTAATAATCTATTAAACAAGGGGCAATCTTGCGAGGAGATGATCACAAATTGTGTAGAGTTTCTTTCTCCTCCAATTAATTAATTTCACATAAGAAGTTGTAATTTGATGGTGTAGGCCAATCTAGCTCAGGTTCCTACTTGAACTTCATCATCAGTTTCCTCAAAAACAATAATATTGTTGGGCTCTTACTTCCAATTATCAAGTATGTTGATCTTCATGCTTCTATTTGATAAAATGAACTATCATATATCAGGCATCTGTTTCTGATGGGTATTAGTAAATTGTAAGGGGGTTGCTGTTTGGTTCTTGTCAATTTAATGATTTGTATATTTCTGAATTTTATACTAAATTTTCACGTGTGCATGTCTTTTTATAAAAGGGTTCAATCTTTTTAGTTTCTCCAAGCTAAAGCTAGCTAAGCATTTAGGGTTCTGTTTCCTCTCTTTCTTCAAAACCTTGTTTTAATTCGTGAACTCTTCGCTAATTAAGATTCCCAGTATGGGTTAGGTCACAGGCCGATGCTGCTGCATAGGGAGACACTGGCTCTTAGTTCTAAGCATCGGTTGTAGTTAAATATATTTCCCCACACTCACTAGCAAGGACTAATTTGGGCCAGCTAGCTACTAATCTTGATTGGTTCTTTCTCTTTCTTTATGTCTAATTTTCCACAAGCAAATATGGTTGTTATTTGCATTTCATGATGAAATTTGTATTATCATACAGCAAATGCTTGAGTATATTCTGTTCCTTAATTACCCTTTCTTCAACTTTAACCTTAATTTAAAGAGGTTTTAGTAGACATCCTCAATAAATTAATTATTAGAAAGTAAAAGAAAAGAGACTAGCTCAACTTTAGACACTATCAATCAGATAATAGTAGGCACTTCTTTTTCATGCATTAGGATTATGGCATGATCTTTGCAAATATAATATATTAAATAAGTAGCAGTATGCATCTGCATGCATTTGATGATTTGCTTTTAAATTGGACCAGCCCTAGATCTAAAGTTTCTCACTTTTCACAAAATAACTGTCTATATATATATAACTTTAAAATTGGATCAACAATGGATTTGAAGTTTCTCACTTAACAAATTTACTGTCAATGAGAGGGCATAATAGTGAATTCAATTCAAGCATATATGTGAAGTGGCACAAAAGGGGCTAATTTAAATTTCTCTATATGATCAAGATGCCTAACTATCTTTTTTTTACTACAGAAATAGGGCAAGAATCACTATTTATAGTATATTATTTTTTTTGGTCAATGAAACTAAATTTATTCATTTAACCATTCGGAAGTATAGTACAACAAAAAACTCAGATTTTGAGTTATCTACAAAAAGAATACAAGGACTAGACTTTGTGCATGAATATCAGTCCAGGGAGTGATGGCCGAGACCTGTAAACCCTATTTCATTGATAATAACCATTCTCTGTCTTCAGCAGCAACTTCACTGTTTAGAACTATGGTCATCAAATCTATTTTGATAAGAAGCTCAGCCCCCCTGCTTTTCTGATTAAAGATTCTGCTATTTCGGTCAATCCAAATGTTGTATATTGAGGAGGTAAGAGCCATTCTTTTTACTTTATGCTTGAATCTTTTACTTCGCAAATTGGAATTGAACCAATTCAATAGATGATTCCAATCACAGCTTCTCCATCTGAAACAGAGCCAATCCATAATTCCATTCCATACATCTTTGGAATAGTTGCATTCAAAAAACAGGTGGCTTCTACTTTCAGGCTTGGATCCTGAACATAAACAACACTGATTAGCTTGTATTATACCTCTCTGTAGCAATTTGTCCTGGGTTAGGAGTCTATCTTGAACATCTAACCATGAGATGAACGAATGCTTTGGGTAATTGAACCCCCCCCCCCCCCACCCCCCCCCATATAGTGATACACCATGGAACTTTATTTGCAGTATTTGCAGCAGGGGAAAGAGCATGGTACAGGTCTGACAGTTTGATTTTTGAGTAGCTATAACAGGACCTGATTAAGTCTTTTAGATTATCCAAACCACCACAGCAAGCTATAGACTTATCTCTGCTTTTAATAGCTGTTTCCATGTCCAGGAATCGCTAACTTTCATTTCCACTTGCCATATATTCCTGCATTTTAGATAATTGCCATGAATCCATTTAATCCATAGGAGCTCTTTGTTTGTGTGTATATCCCATATGGTCTTTAGTGCTATTACAATAAGGACTAAAGATCTAAGTTTGTGTCCAGATCAGTTATCTTCTTTGGTAGTGCTATAATTAAATACAAATAGTTTTAGAAGGAAAAACAAAAAACAACAACAAAAGAGCCGCAAATAACACGGCAATTTTAAACATCCAGGAGATTGTAGACTAGAAGTTATCTCCAATCACAGCTAATTCAGCGATCATCCTCATTTTTGAAGTAGGCCCTAAATACCCTTCATTAACGAATTCCCAGAACATGGTTAAATAAGTCACATTAGCTAGAGGCTAGCTTTGCGAAAGTTATCGACGGTTGATTAAACATTAATTAAGTTATTTTTGGTCCTCAAAATATATACGTACACTAGCACAAAACAGGGAAAGCAACAAGGCCATGTTCTTCTATCAGTAGCACCAGTGAGATCGAGGAAATCCCCATGAGAATCAATCACAGCTTGAAAATCTGTTGGCCATAATAAATCTGTTGAAGGAAGGAAGGAAAAAAAAAGAACAATTTCCAACAAGAAAGGAGCTAAAGAAAGATCTTAACTTCATTTAGAAAGTATAGATTTCCAAATGAATTTGCAATGCATGACTACATAATAAACCACCACCATTGATGATTTTGTATGAAGACTGAAACTGTGAAAGAACCGAATGCATGGAAGGGCCACCAAGCTGTGTCAGGACTGCAAATTCAACTCCTTCATTCAATGTCGACGTTGGTCTACGGTTGAGGAGATGCCAACTCCATGAGTCATGATGATGAGAACCTTACGACCTGACACTAACATTCTTCGAAAAGAGCCAGAGAGCAAGCTAGAGGGTATTTGTTGCCTAGAGAGATTGGCCCGGTCCATTTATCTTCCCAAAATCTAATGCTGGTACCCTCGCCTAACTTCCAACGTACTAGACTCATAAGGGCTTGGTTTACGGAAATGACATATCATGCCAGAATTTAGAGCATGAGTGTTTAGGTGGTGTGCTACTAGAGTTTGGACGACCGTTTGGAGTATAAGGATAAGATAAATTTCCAACAAGAGATTCTAGTATTCAAGGATTCCAAGACCATTTAGAAAGAAGAGATAAGTTGAAATCAGAGAGATTTTTCACACCTAATCCCCCTTCATCTTTAGATTTGCAAACCACTCCCCACTTCACTAGAGCCTTACCCTTATGGTCTGTTTGGATGGAGGGTAGAGAGGGGGAGGGGAAGAGAAATCTAATTTTAACCTTGTTTGAGAGTTTCATTTAGGAAGGTAGAGGAGGGGAAGGGGGTGGGGGGATTTGAGCCAAAATCTTACACGCCAAATTGGGATGTAATGAAGGGGAAGGGAAGGAAGGGGAACTTTTCCCCTTCCTTCCCTTCCCTACGAGAAACCCCCCCCCCACCCCACCCCCCCAACACACACACACACCAAAAAAAACACAAGCAAATAAAAAAGGAAAAAATTTCCTTATTTTATCCTTTGCTTTGATAAGCGAAACTGATAATTTGAAGGAGGGAAGGTCAGAAAAGCTCATTTTCTTATGTCAAGAAGTACCAAGTAGGCTTCAAGATGGGTTCTAGGAGAAGCATTGACAGTAGCACTATAATTTCTGGATTATGAAGGAAAATCAAAATTTAAAGACTATTACATACATCAATGACACATGATCAACCTTATTCAATTAAAATATTGTACGTAGATCGATATACAAGACTTATGATCTTATTGGCATGATTATTGGAATTATACTTAGCTCCAGCAATTATGTTAAAATGCAGTGTTACGTGTGGAAGACATGATGCCTACATGCAGCAGGTAGTTTGATGAAAAAGGGAAACATTTTACAAGCTGGGCAGATGATTTAAGTTACCAAATCAGTTTGATGACCCTCGTGAAAATTCATGGCTATTAGAGACTAATACGTCAGTAAAACTAATTAATAATGATTAATCATGGTTTTAACTTAAACCTAGTTTGGCTGATTTGTAGAGTAGACTATATTTAAGCTAGTTCTCTTGTAAACTAAGTGAGAGTTGGTTTATTTCTAGTCTAGTTATTGAGCAAAACGGAAAAGCTAAGCTCGCCCCGCACCCCCCCCCCCCCCACCCCAACCCCCCGACCCCATCTTGTTTGACAGACCCTTGAGTATTAGGACTTTGAATAATGTGAAGGAAGCCTATGATATATACTTGGCCTCTCCCTTCTCATGAATTAATCACACGCATT